GATATTAAGTAAAGGCTTCATTCTTTGACACTACATATCTCAAAAATATTCTGTTTATTTCCATATGGGGATAACTGCAAGGAGGTTCATTGCAGACTAACCTGTGATGCCAGAGCGTTGGAGGCAAACTATGCCTATAACTGTGTAAGTGGATAGCTTGAAAGTAATGGATATACACACAATATAGTAAGAAAAAGGGGAAAAGAGAAAAGGAGAGAAGATAAAGGGAAGAAAGATAGATAAAGGGAGAGGAAGGGAAGGCAGAAGGAAAGGGAAAGGGAGAAGAATGGAAGGGAAAAAAGAGCAGGAAAGGGGGAGATAAGAGTATCCTTTTCTGGAACGATGCTGCTAGTGCTTTATGAATTGAGGAGTATGATCAACTGGACTCTAAAACATAAAAAAAAAATAATTTCAGACATTTAATAAAATGATGATGACAAATATGTACAGATCATAATAATTGCTATAAAACTATTTGTTTTAACGTATGTTCTGAAGTTCGAAAGTGCTGTATTCTGTGGTTTCTTCCATGCCTATGTATAAAAATATGTCCTCCACAGCCGATTAAAACTGATGAAAATCTTTTTTCCTTAGAAGAATCAAACTTTGGGCCGGCCCGGTGGCGCACTGCTACAGTGCGCCGCTTGGGAAGCGCGGCAGCGCTCCCGCCGAGGGTTCGGATCCCACATACAGACCGCCGCTCACTGGCTGAGCGAGGGGCGGGAGCAACACCGAGGGTTGCAATCCTGTTGCCGGTCATGAAAAAAGACAAAAAGGAAAAAAATAAAAAAAGAAGAATCAAACTTCACCTCTATTAAAAGCTGTTATTAAACAATCCTTTTTATAAAATCATTAAGCTTTTGGTGGAAGAGCAAAAGTAAAACTGATTCGTTTTGTTGAAAGGCAATTAATTAAAGGAAGTACAATAAGAAGTGACTATTACGACATCTACCTATTAATGTATTACATGGGGTTTTTTTTTGGCATATTTTATGCATACAATGACCTTTATATGGTTTTGCTTTCTTTCATTCTACTTTTTTGGGTGGACATCCTTACTTTTTATCAAGCCACAATTTTTGAAACCCAAGGGTAGAAAATTTGAAAAAATGTAAATAAAGGCTTTATTTCTTGTCTTTCTATAAACTCATTCTCTATACCTTATATTAAATTATGTACCTATATATACAGAGATTGTAATTTTATGTGTAGGTTTTATCTACAAATAAATGTGCTACTTTAGTCATCCTGGAAAGTTTCTACCTATTCAAATCATCATACCATTGCCTAAATCATCTTTGATGATCCTCTCTTGAAATTGTCTAAAAAGTTATTTTATGTGCTGAATATATATATATATGTATATATATATTTACACACATTTGTTGTATTATTTTATTTTGCCATATTTTATTTTTTAAAATTAAATAACACTACCCATTTCACAGAATGAATAATTCTCACCTGTTCCCCAAATTGAATTCATTCATTAATAATCTGAAGATTATACCACAGGCTCACCAAACAAACAAGCAACCTCAACCAAAGTTCACGATCTCTTGCAAGTGTCAGAACGATTTATTTCTTTTCCTTTCTATCTGAATGATTGAGTTATGATAAGTAGGAAAACAAAACAAAACAACAGTAATATTTTCTTAAAATGACACATCACAGCCCTGTTTGTAAAAATTTTGTCTCCACTTTAATCTACAAATTTTCTTGACTAAACTACACCAAAATTAATAGTATTAAGATTGTAACTTGCTGGCAGAGATATAATATTTGAGAAAACATTTAACAATGTCTTTTTAAAAAAGACTAGAGTCCAATGCTTTCAATAGTTTTCAAGTCTTAAAAATAGAGAAATAGTTAAATTTAACTTTCATTTCTGTTTTCAATTCATTCATTATGTTAAACTAAAGAAATATGCAGAAGTGAATGTTGTAACCTAAACAAAGGAATTGGTGATAGTTTTAGAATCCAGGTTTCCATGTATCAGTTTTGGGTTACAGGCTGTCTGAATCAGCAGGACTTGAGTTTGCTGCCTGCCCTATTACTCTTGACTTTTTTTTTTACCTTAAAGAAAGGCACGAGGAGATTCTTAAAGATCCTTTTCTTTGCAGCTATCCCCAGGCAAGAAGGAAGAATTAGCCTTGTAACCAGATCCTTCTAGTCTCTGCATTTAATTTTAAGCAAGAAACCAGGCGACTCTTAAAGACGTAAGGCTGACAGGGAACAGCAGAGGGCAGTATTTACCCATGCCTGGACCTACTCTGCGTAGAAAGTTTCAAATTTGGAGGGATCCCTGTGGCATAAATGTATGACATATGCCCTATATTTGCATTGTTTGGCTTAAATTCATATTTTCTAAGTCGATTCTCCTAAAGAGGAAAATACTGACCTGATTCCTAGTCATTTTCGTTTTCTTTTTCTTTTAAGGAAGCAATGCATGTCAACACGAAAATTAGCGGCAGTGCATGGCAGGGTAGTTAATCTGAGTGTAGTACGTGGCATGTGGGCATTTTTTTTTTTTTTTTAAATTCACGTTTAAAGTTCATTCTATTTGTTTCTATTTTCTCAATTAATTCTTCCCCCTGATCAAAAACAAAACAAAGCTCTTTGGATTCCTCTAGCTGCTGAATGTCGAGAGGGAAATAATCCATCAGGGATCAAAATACTAAACTAACTTTGCAACGGGAAAAGATCTCCCTCTTTCCGAAGGGCTGCCATTGTTATTGTTGCTGAAATTCTAAGATTTGGGCTACTGGCACCTGGAATCCAGTTGGGCAGGAAAACAAAACATAACAAACATTGAGTTCCCCTAGCTTTTCCTATAGGAAGTCCAAAATGCGGTTTTGGACCTCGGTGCTCCTAGTCACCTCGAAGTTGGGGGAGAGGGCAAGTGGGTGCAGTCTTAGGGTTTAGCTCGCCAGGGAGCCCACTGCATAGACAGAGGAGGATTTGGTTTGGATTCAGTCGGGCCACATTATATAGCAGTTCCCTCCTTCGCCGAGGAAGAAAAGGGGCAGGAAACGGTTAAAGCAAATCTGCGCTGTGCATTCCCAGACAGGCTTTGCTTAATCCTTCCTCCCCGCTTTAACAGACCCTCACCCCCCGCCTTTCTTTTATTTCTCTCGACCCCCTTACCCCTGAGTTATTGCTAGCATAACAACCTAACGGTCTTCCCCCAGACCCTGCCACGAAAGTTATTTATCTGCAAACCTGACCCCACCCCCATCTATTCTGCGGCAGCCTTTTGCTGTTATTGCTCTGACGCCGGCCAAGATTTGACCAAAAAGAAAAAAAAAAAAAAAAAAAAATCGCCCCCCTTCTTAGCGCCTCCGCCTCGCAGGGCTTGCACAGCAGACCTCCTCCAGCCCCCCGGGAGCCTGGAGTGATTAGCATCCCGACCAGCCAGTCGCAGGCCGGGCAAGGCGGGGGGGCGCTCGCGGTAGGAGTGCCAGGCGGGGCTGCTTCAGCTCCGGCCCAATGGGGCTGGGGCGAGGGAGGGGCGGTAGGTGACAGGACCCGGAGCTAGGGGGAGTCCGGGCGAACTAAAGTGCGGGGATCAATGAGTGGCGAGCAAAGTTTCTGCGTCCCGCTCCAGCTCGCGGTCTCCCGCCCCCTCTGTTTGTGTTTCGGCGACGCGGTGCGTGTGTGTGTGCGTGTGTGTGTGTGTGTGTGCGTGCGCACCGCAGGGAAGGGGCGGGGAGAGTGCGAGGGAGCGGGCGGAGGTTGAGAGGGGCTCCCCGAGCTCTAGCTCCACAGCTGTGCAGCCCTCAGCCCCGGCAGGCGAGCAGGAGAGCGCTGACAGGCGCCGTCCGGAGCCGCGGAGGGCGCCGCCACAGCCCAGCGCCGACTTCCCCGCCTCCACCGCCAAGGGTGAAGGAGAAAGAGGGACCAACCAGCCCCCGCCCCAAACAAAAAGCCCTGTGGATTACAAAGTGAAACTGACACGGGACAGTAAAAGCAAAGATAACGCGGGCAGGGGCGAGGCGCACTAGGGTGGCCTGCTGAACGCGGCCGCCGGAGAACGAACCCCTGGCATGGTGAGGGGAGGGGACTCGGGGACTGCGCGCCGCTCCTGCCCGACCCCTGCGAGGCCGAGAAGAAAGGGAAACCTGCGCTCGATGTGGATGTACAAATAATGGGTCGGCAGGCGTCCTGGAAGAGGTGAAAAATGCCGAGGAGAGCTGGCAGTTGCCTGTGCCCGACTACGGGCTCGAAGCCGCAGCAGGGGCGGCGACGGCGGCGGCTGCTGGAGGGGAAAGGACGGAGCTGAGCGCTCCTGGGCACCGGAGCCAGGGCGCGAACGCGAGCGCTTGGAACGCAGTTCCCGAGCTGCCCGCGCGCAGACGCCGCCGCCTGGGCCTCAGCGGCCGCTGCTAGAGCCCTACTGGAGGGGCGTTGCAGCATTGTGGAGGATCGGGGACTCGAGGAAATCCCTCGTCTCCAGCTTTGGGAAAGGAATTCGGTTCTCGCGGTTCTCTCCCGCCCCCTCCACGGTGCGCGGTTGTGCTTCCAGTTGCTACCGACGTTTGTTCTTCCCTCTTCACGTTCTTCACTGTGGGTAAGTTCTAAAGTTTCTGAAGACAATTGTTTGCAATGATTCCTCGTATACCTTAAATACAGGCAACGTCTACCAAGTCACATCCACCCGGGCGAAAACGCTCAGACTCTGGATTCAAAAACAAAGTAAAGGGGGGGCGGGGAATATAAGAGATTTTAGAAACTTTTCTGGGAACCCAACTCTCAGGAGTGTTCCGCGGATTGCCCTGCCGCTTTTCGCCACTGTATCTCTCTTGCACTTCGTTCGACTACCTGGAACTTTTGGCAGATGCGACTTGCTTTTACTGGACTGGATGTTCTTTGAAATAGCAGAGGTCTCAGGCCGAGCAATCGACTGAATTTTTGCTGCCACTACTTTATCTCTGTAAATATCTTTCAGTTTGCCTCACTCCTTCCTTCTCTTCATCACTCCTTTTCAGGGAGCCAGGACCATGGACTTGGCAGCAGGCAGGGTTCCTGGCCGCCCGTGGCTACCGCTGCACACTGTATCTGTATTTCAGCTCCTTCGAGTGTTTTGGCTGCTGTCACTGCTCCCGGGGTCGGCCTTGGTCCTAGGGGCCGAGCAGCGCCAGGTGTTCCAAGTGCTGGAAGAGCAACCTCCTGGCACTCTGGTAGGCACCATCCAGACGCGCCCCGGCTTCACCTACCGGCTCAGCGAAAGCCACGCCCTGTTTTCCATAAACAGTAGCACCGGAGCCCTGTACACCACCGCCACCATCGACCGCGAAAGCCTGCCCAGCGACGTGATCAACCTGGTGGTCCTTTCCAGCGCGCCCACCTACCCTACCGAAGTGCGAGTGCTGGTGCGGGACCTCAACGACAACGCCCCCGTCTTCCCAGACCCCTCGATTGTGGTCACTTTCAAGGAGGACAGTAGCAGCGGGCGCCAAGTCATCTTGGACACCGCTACCGACTCGGACATCGGCTCCAATGGTGTGGACCACCGCTCGTACCGCATCATCCGGGGCAACGAGGCGGGCCGCTTTCGCCTGGACATCACTCTAAACCCGAGTGGCGAGGGCGCATTTCTGCATCTGGTGTCCAAGGGCGGGCTGGACCGCGAGGTAACCCCGCAGTACCAGCTCTTGGTGGAAGTGGAGGACAAGGGCGAACCAAAGCGGCGGGGCTACCTTCAGGTAAATGTGACTGTACAGGATATTAATGACAACCCCCCGGTTTTTGGTAGTTCTCACTACCAGGCGGGGGTGCCTGAGGACGCGGTTGTGGGCTCCAGCGTCCTCCAGGTGGCGGCGGCGGACGCGGACGAGGGCACCAACGCGGACATCCGTTATCGGCTGCAGGACGAGGGAACCCCCTTCCAAATGGATCCGGAGACGGGGCTTATCACGGTGCGGGAGCCCCTGGACTTTGAGGCCCGGCGGCAGTACTCGCTTACGGTGCAGGCGATGGACGGAGGCGTGCCTTCGCTCACGGGGCGTGCCGAGGCGCTGATTCAGCTATTGGACGTGAACGACAACGACCCTGTAGTGAAGTTCCGCTACTTCCCTGCCACTTCGCGCTACGCCTCGGTAGATGAGAATGCGCAAGTGGGCACTGTGGTGGCTCTGCTCACCGTGACCGACGCAGATTCCCCCGCGGCCAACGGGAACATCTCCGTGCAGATTCTTGGGGGCAATGAGCAGCGCCACTTTGAGGTGCAGAGCAGCAAAGTGCCGAACCTGAGCCTAATCAAAGTGGCCAGTGCCCTGGACCGGGAGCGCATCCCTTCCTATAACCTCACAGTTTCCGTGTCTGACAACTACGGGGCGCCCCCTGCCGCCGCGGTCCAGGCGCGCTCGTCTGTGGCAAGCCTGGTGATTTTCGTCAATGACATCAATGACCATCCGCCTGTCTTTGCGCAGCAGGTGTACAGAGTGAACCTGAGCGAGGAGGCGCCTCCGGGAAGTTATGTGAGTGGAGTATCCGCCACAGATGGCGACTCTGGTCTCAATGCTAATCTGCGTTACAGCATCGTCTCTGGCAATGGACTCGGATGGTTCCATATCAGTGAACATAGTGGTCTGGTGACCACTGGGGCTTCTGGGGGCCTGGACCGTGAGCTTGCTTCCCAGATTGTACTGAATATCAGTGCTCGGGACCAGGGAGTCCACCCCAAGGTTTCCTATGCCCAGCTTGTAGTAACTCTACTGGATGTGAATGACGAGAAGCCAGTATTTAGCCAGCCAGAAGGGTATGATGTATCTGTGGCTGAGAATGCCCCAACGGGGACAGAACTACTGGTGCTCGGGGCAACTGATGGGGACCTGGGTGACAATGGGACAGTGCGCTTCTCCCTGCAAGAGTCTGAGACTGACCAGAGGTCCTTTCGTCTGGATCCTGTGTCTGGAAAGTTAAGTACCATCTCCTCCTTAGACAGGGAGGAGCAAGCCTTCTACTCCCTGCTGGTTCTGGCCACAGATCTGGGCTCCCCTCCTCAGTCATCAATGGCTCGCATAAATGTGAGTCTTCTGGATATGAATGACAACAGCCCCGTGTTCTACCCAGTCCAATACTTTGCTCTCATTCAGGAGAATGAGCCTGGAGGTAGCTACATCACCACAGTGTCTGCCACTGACCCAGACTTGGGTCCCAATGGAACTGTCAAATATAGTATATCAGCTGGGGACAGGTCTCGGTTTCAGGTCAATGCTCAGAGTGGGGTTATTTCTACGAGAATGGCCCTAGACAGAGAAGAAAAAACAGCTTACCAGTTGCAAATAGTGGCTACTGATGGTGGCAATTTACAATCTACCAACCAGGCAATAGTAACCATCACTGTACTGGACACTCAGGACAACCCACCTGTGTTCAGCCAGGCTGCCTACAGCTTCGTGGTTTTTGAGAACGTTGCTCTGGGCTATCATGTGGGTAGTGTGTCTGCATCCACCATGGATCTCAATTCCAACATCAGTTATCTTATTACTACTGGGGATCAGAAAGGTATGTTCGCTATCAATCAGGTCACTGGGCAGCTTACCACAGCAAGTGTGATTGACAGAGAAGAGCAATCCTTTTATCAGCTGAAAGTAGTGGCCAGTGGGGGCACAGTGACTGGAGATACTATAGTTAACATAACAGTGAAGGACTTAAATGACAATTCTCCCCATTTCCTTCAGGCAGTAGAGAGTGTAAATGTGGTGGAGAATTGGCAGGCAGGTCATAGCATTTTCCAAGCCAAAGCCGTGGACCCCGATGAAGGTGTCAATGGCATGGTATTCTATAGCCTGAAGCAAAACCCCAAGAACCTATTTGCTATCAATGAAAAGAATGGTAATATCAGTCTACTAGGACCCTTGGATGTTCATTCTGGGTCTTACCAAATAGAAATCTTGGCATCTGATATGGGTGTTCCACAGCGCTCCTCTAGTGTCATCTTAACAGTTTATGTCCATGATGTAAATGACAATCCACCAGTGTTTGACCAACTTTCTTATGAGGTGACCCTTTCTGAATCAGAACCTGTGAATTCTCGATTCTTTAAAGTGCAAGCTTCTGATAAGGACTCAGGAGCAAATGGTGAAATTGCATATACCATTGCTGAAGGAAATACAGGGGATGCTTTTGGCATATTCCCAGATGGTCAATTGTATATAAAGAGTGAACTGGACCGTGAACTTCAGGACAGATATGTTTTACTGGTTGTTGCCTCTGACAGAGCAGTGGAACCCCTTAGTGCTACTGTGAATGTTACTATAATTTTAGAAGATGTAAATGATAACAGACCTCTTTTTAACAGCACCAATTACACATTTTACTTTGAAGAGGAGCAGAGAGCTGGGTCATTTGTGGGCAAAGTAAGTGCTGTAGATAAAGACTTTGGGCCAAATGGAGAAGTAAGGTATTCTTTTGAAATGGTGCAGCCATATTTTGAGTTGCATGCTATCAGTGGGGAAATTACAAATACTCATCAGTTTGACAGGGAGTCTCTCATGAGGCGGAGAGGGACTGCAGTATTTAGCTTTACAGTCATAGCAACAGATCAGGGGCTTCCCCAGCCTCTCAAGGATCAGGCCACTGTCCATGTTTACATGAAGGATATAAATGATAATGCTCCCAAATTTTTGAAAGACTTTTACCAAGCTACAATATCAGAGTCAGCAGCCAACCTGACACAAGTTTTAAGAGTATCTGCCTCGGATGTTGATGAAGGTAATAATGGACTTATTCATTATTCTATAACAAAAGGAAATGATGAAAGACAGTTTGCTATAGACAGTACCTCTGGTCAGGTCACACTAATTGGCAAATTAGACTATGAAGCAACACCTGCATATTCCCTTGTAATTCAAGCAGTGGATTCAGGGACAATCTCCCTCAATTCAACCTGTACCTTAAATATCGATATTTTAGATGAAAATGACAATACCCCATCTTTCCCTAAATCAACACTATTTATTGATGTTTTGGAAAACATGAGAATTGGTGAACTTGTGTCCTCTGTTACTGCAACTGATTCTGATTCGGGTGACAATGCTGATTTACATTACAGTATTACTGGGACTAACAACCATGGAACTTTTAGCATTAGCCCAAACACTGGGAGTATTTTTCTTGCCAAAAAATTGGACTTTGAAACACAGTCTTTGTACAAATTAAATATAACAGCAAAAGACCAAGGAAGGCCTCCTCGTTCATCTACAATGTCAGTGGTTATACACGTGAGGGACTTTAATGACAATCCTCCTAGCTTTCCTCCTGGTGATATTTTCAAGTCTATTGTTGAAAACATTCCCATCGGTACCTCTGTCATTTTGGTGACTGCTCATGACCCTGATGCAGATATTAATGGGCAACTCTCCTACACAATCATTCAACAGATGCCAAGAGGCAACCACTTTGGCATAGATGAAGTCAAAGGGACAATATATACTAATGCTGAAATAGATCGTGAATTTGCTAATCTCTTTGAGTTGACCATAAAAGCCAATGATCAAGCTGTGCCCATAGAAACTAGACGGTATGCTTTGAAAAATGTGACCATTTTGGTTACAGACCTCAATGACAATGTCCCAATGTTTATATCACAAAATGCTCTTGCTGCAGACCCTTCAGCTGTGATTGGTTCTGTTCTGACAACAATTATGGCTGCCGACCCAGATGAAGGTGCTAATGGAGAGGTGGAGTATGAGATCATCAATGGGGACACAGACACCTTTATTGTGGATCGTTACAGTGGGGACTTGAGAGTGGCTTCCGCACTGGTGCCTTCACAGCTGATCTACAACCTCATAGTTTCAGCAACAGACCTGGGCCCTGAAAGGAGGAAATCAACCACCGAGTTGACTGTCATTCTTCAGGGCCTTGATGGACCTGTTTTTACTCAACCCAAATATATAACTAATTTGAAGGAAGGGGAACCCATTGGCACCAATGTAATATCAATAGAGGCCTCAAGCCCCAGAGGATCTGAAGCCTCAGTGGAGTATTATATTGTTTCAGTTCGTTGTGAGGAAAAAACTGTTGGACGTCTTTTTACTATTGGACGACATACTGGCACAATTCAGACTGCAGCCATTCTGGACCGGGAGCAAGGAGCATGTCTTTACCTGGTGGATGTTTATGCCATAGAAAAATCCACTGCTTTCCCCAGAACACAGAGAGCAGAGGTAATGATTTTGTAGTCATTTATTATTTGTTGATGTGCTATTTACAAAGATCATTCCCTTTATATTTACTTCCTGTAATTATCTATCTTTATTGTTTATTGTTAATTTTACAAGCAGGAACACATCCAAATGTCTTATCACAAAGACTAATGAAGAATTACATAAAATTTAGCTTTAATTCTGGTTAAAACTAAACAATAAACATTTTTTTCACTTTATATTTTACCTCTTAGCAATCACATGTATAAGACTAAGGAGAATTATTTAACCATTTCAGAGTGAAAAAAATACCCATCTATCTAAGCTAAATCAGTGAACTAACCTCAACACCTCTCAGTGAGGAAGTTGTCTAGAGGATGGGCAATTTCAGAATTAAGAAATTCCTATTCCAAAATGAGGAGCTTTGGCAGAAACCAGCATCATACCATAGCTTTTTAGGGGGAGTGGCGGTAGAGGATGAACTGACAGATTACATCAGGATGGTATTAACTTTCACATCCTCAGCAGTCTTGGCAGTTTCTTTATAGACAGTGACTAATTTTAATGTGCTGAGCCAAGTTTTGGGAGATTCCTGATCTCATCTGCCTTAACATTTTAGGCACTATCTTCTGACTTAGAGTAATCTTTCTCTTCCCTCTTAAACTAAAGCATGAAATGTGCTGTGAATGAAAAGAGATTAGAGGCTGTTTCTTGAGACAAATCTGTTACTCAATGCCATGGTATAGGTACATGTTGTTCTGTCTGCTGGTGGGTAAGAAATCAGTGTTTCATAACATAAGCCGAAAAAATTCCAAGCTTGACCTTTCCTGGGGCACATTTTAGGCTACTACGTCCATGTATCATTGATTTGTTTTTTAATTGAACTACTTCCAATGTTGTTTTGATAAGCAATTAGAAATGATATAGCTATACTCTGGAAAGTTCTTGTTTGCTGTTTTATGAGCTCTTTTTCTCCCTTTCCACTCCCCTCAAAGACATTCTAGTGTCACTCAGCCAAAAACATAAAATATCAAATGTGGTTTGTGATGGTTGGCAGTGACCCAGACTCAACATGCTAGTAAAATTGAAGCTCATGCATCTCTTTCTCTTGCTTCCTTTTTTTGGGTGGGTGGGGAATAGTGGGAGATTTTCTTTATTTAAAATGTTCATTTATTATTATCTTTTGTAAATTCCTTATGATTTTTTGTTTCATAATAGTTGGCTATGTCTGGTCTATGGATGGAGCAGAATATTCATGGATTAGAGGACATTGGAGATATAAATAGAGATATAATTCTTAGGGATATAATTCAAAGTGGAGTTCAATTTTGCCTCACATGCATACACCGAAAGGATTTCTAGGCCAAATAACCTTTTTTATCTAATTGTTTTTTAAAAGATCTTAAAATGGGTCTTGTAAGTTGAGCCATTTGGTTTAACTCAGGCTGTGGCTTATATGCAATTTTATTTTGATTTGGAGTTATTCCTCTCCTAAACCCACTCCCTTTCTTCCCTGGAAGTATTTCTTAGATAAAGACATTTGATTAATTTGAAAACCATATTATTTATTGAAGAAAAGCAATTCCAGACTTTAGATGAATTTATTAAACTGTAAAACAAATTATATTATTAGGTGTTGTATGATTCAGTGCATCACATTTTATTAGAACACTGTAGAGAATGAGAATAAATATTTGTTGTTATCATTAGAATATTTATTGTGTCTTGCTATTTACTCACAGATACGCAAAGATTGGCTTAGCATACATGTAGTGAATTCATTCTATTACCTTTGCAATAGAGATGAAGATTAAAAAATAATAACTATAAATAGTTTTGTTAGTAGTAGGGGATTATATAACTATTATGTTTTTACCTCAAGTAACACTGATATGAAAAGGTATCATTTATGTATACTGTACTGTATTTATTTAAAATCTGAGGAAAATTCAATATGATGATTTTTTATATGAAACAAAAAGTTCGTCAGGGTATGTTCTGTGAAATAAAGTGCTGAAATTGTAAACCAAGTTTGAGTTCCCAAACTCTAGCCACTTCTGAAATTAAAAGCAAATGTGTTTCTCTAAAGAATAGTGAAAGCAGTAGTTGGGAACTAGAATTTCATTTATTATTTCTGGTTGTATCTTTCAATTAAATACAACGAAGTGCTTTTTCTCTTCTGCTTAAACAATTAATTTACTATGAGTCTACAAAAAGAATATCTAAATTACCCCTGGTTGGCAGAGGTGGTTTTTTAATTGTTTGTTTCCAGGTGCAGACTTTGTCCGGTGCATTTTAAAATATTTATTCATGTACACAGATAAGAGTATGGGCTGCTTACTCAGGTTTCTGGTCGAAGTCATGGCAGATCACATTCCATGGGCAACCAGGGTGTCAGAGGGTGAAAGAGGAACAATTGCATCCAAATTCTTTTTCTAGCTCTCACACATGGGGTGGGGAGGTAAGGATTGTGATTCTGATATTGCTCATTCCAAAGATTTCTCCAGTTGTACACCTTCACTTACCCCACCTGCCATATCTAAAGATCTGGCATGAATAGAAATGTCTTCAAAGGATGGCTTTTGGACTATAGACATAAGATTTATTTTACTTTCATTTTGTCGCTTTATATTCTCAGAAGAGTGGACACAGTCTAAATTATGTTAGAATAGTTCAC